ATACAACCAATGCTACAAATGTTTTGAAGCATTCTTTGATTTGTCATTCACAAAATTCTTCCTTTTGAAGCATTTGTAATGACCGCATTTTTTGTTTTTTATCTATTCTCTGATAATAATTATATTATTATAGAAAATTTCGTTTTGTATTACTTTTAGTGGCTCTACTTATAGTAAAGTTCCACAAGAGATTAGTTTAGACGAAAGCAATAAAGGGCATCAATTACTCAAAAAAATGGGCTGGAGTGGTGCTGGTCTTGGTGCGAACGAACAGGGCATTGAGGCGCCCATTTCAGGGGGCGAGATTCGTGATAAGAACGACCAATACAAAGGAGTCGGTATCAATTTAAATGATCCATACGAGACCTTCCGAAAAAATAAAGGTCAAGCGTTCATCACCAGAATGAAAGCTAGGGCGGAGGAACGAGCCGAAGAGAGAGGGGACCGCGATTGAACATTAACAAAATAAAAATTGCGAATATTTACGATATTTTGTGAATGAGACAAGTATCTGGCACGAGATATTAAGAACATTCTCGTTCTGCATTAGAAATCCATTCACAAAAAGAACTATGCTACCGCCTATGAGGGCCGATTTCAAAGATCAACGTAATTTTTCTCAAACAGTTATCTTTCATTAATTCTGAATCCCCATTACACATGTCATCAATTTTAAACTATCACAAATGAACGCTAATTGTTTTACATTGAAATCACACTGATTATTTTCATCAGGAGCTATCTTACAATTAATCACATTCTTACAATTAAGCGACGAAATTAATGAATTGTGTGGGGTTTATATAAATTGTACATTTTTAGATAAAATTATGAACACGATTATAGGATTTGTTTCAAATATTTGTATAATCTTTAATGATGAAACAAATATTGAAACTTGTGTTATATGACAAAAGAGATCAACCAGATCTATAATTGCATAATCTTATATTGGTAGTATTTAAAACAATTTAAGTGCACAATTAACATCTGTCGGCAGAAAAATCTTCGGTCCTATTTAATATATTAATTATATATATATATTCCACACATAATGATTAAATTTTGTTCCATCTTTATCCATTATCGGATGATAGGATAATCGCAATTCACAATATGTACAGTACAATTTGTTTTGTGCCGTAAAATAGCGTGGGCATAAAAAAACATGTGAGAAATAAGAATACTTGTATTTAGTGAGTTAACAAATTATATTGGATACACACTGAATGATAGCTCAAGAATAAAAACTGTACATTTATTACGGAAGCGAATGTGAACCATTGCTATCGTTACTCTCCTTCCTTTGTTTCCTCTTCCTAGTACTAAATATATGAAGAGAGAAGAGAGAGCATGTAAAAACGTGGGTTAAGCCCAAAATTAAAATTTTTTTATCACCATGTTATTATTCATCGCTAATATCATGGTTTCGTGAACCTTGCCGTCCATTTTATCAGAAGGAGTGCACTGATACTAAGATACTCCTCTGGAGAACGTCCTTGAAATTCCTTGAAAAGGAAAGAAGTAATATTTTCTTACAATTAGCTTGTTAGGAGAACAGTCTTCCAGGTCTTCTATATATTTTACCTATGTTATAGCCTTTATTTATATTTAAACTATCTAGACGTTTATATTTCTAGAACTTTGAGGATTTAAAAATACAAAAACATTTAGATAATTTAATCAGAGCCATAGGCTATAACATAAATAAGATATGAAAAATTGCTCTTCTGAAGAAACTAAAATATCCTTTCCTTTCTTGCTTTTCCCTCTCAACGTCTGTATATATAAAAGGAGCAACTCGGTATCAGTGCACTCCTCGCCCTGATGAAATGGCAAGATTTATGCACTGACTGAGTAATTCATCACGATGGCCATAATTCACAAATCTTCTGGCATTTTTGAAATAAATATTCGTGGGAGCTTCCAAAGTATTATCATTATTTACTTTAATACTAAACCAAGTACGAATACATTTTATATAAAGCAATTTTATATTTAAAATCACATTGTCTTATTCTTAAACCAACTTTACATAATTTATAATTCACTTTAGATTTCACGATGGAGTTCTCTATAATTTTATCGCTCTATTTTTTTATTCCGTGGATTTTGATTTGCGAATGTATTTTAATACATACTTTAATTCTCTTTATATGTTTAAACGTTGCATTATATAGTACATGAAATTATAAGTAGAATTCTATCTCGAATTTTGACCTAAATTATAGATTATTGAAAAAGTAAAATTTAACTTATTTCTTCTTTTACATTCTCACAATTTTATTCGTTCTTTTTATCTCTTTTTCATACGGTTAATTCGATCCGATGTTAAAATAGTGCAAAACTAGCATTTCGCTCAACTATAAAATTTTAGTGCGATGATTTTAAATTTTATATATATATGTGTGAGAATCATCTATTATGAAGAATAAGACTAAGGTGACATGAGAAAGACTAATTGTAACAGAAGACGAGGTTTCATTCGCGTCTTCACAGTGTTAACTATTTTTTTAGAAGTAATCATGTTTTACAATTTAATTAATTTTCGTTATTCTTTTAAGCAAAAATACTAAATAATATTAGTTGAAATATCTGTTTATACACAAGATCTTTTTACAATTTTTATTATTTATTTTAAAACGTGGACGTTGTCATACAATGTTGCGAATAAAAATTAATATAAAAAATTACAAAACAAAAATTTAATATAAAAATATTAAAAATATAAATGAATATCCAATATTTCCAATTATGATTTTTACTAATATTTTTCACTGTTTTCACGTTAATTTTGATTTATCATACAGCAATATCCGAATTTTATAATAAATAATTAAAAATATAGAAAATTTTATTATTTATATATAATAAATATTGTGTAGCAGTTAATATTTTTGTTTAAAAATAACAAAAATTCATAAAATTGTAAAATATATATACAATTTAATTGTGTCGACTCAAAATCTTATTAGCCACGGATGAGAAAATGTAACAACCTGTTTTAACGCTGTTTAAACTGCACGCTTCAATGCTTTATTAGGCGACTTTGATCAAATTACGATTAACTTATTCCGTTTGTTGCTAATGTTGATTAAAAATTAATTACACATTAAAATTCTCTTTTTGGAAGCCGTCAATCAGAGGAAAAGAGTGCAGAGGAACATCTTTGCAGAAAATTACAAGAAAGTGATAATGTCAGCTGTTGATGATAGATTATTATTGTTCATTTATTCACTCTATTTGTAAAGCTAGAACCGGAATAATCAGTTGGAAGACGATGTTGTTAAAGAAACAAAACTTCTAGTTGAAAGGAGAATATCATGCGGCGTAATAGAGCGTTCTTCGACCGTTGGCTCGTAACAGGCGTCTCCTTATCACACGTCACGTGCATGCACGAGTTTAAAGAATGAAAAAAAAACGGAGGAGCCTCGTTTAACTGGCTACGAACGGCTTGGCGAGTGACCGGGTACAAGTTAATCGTGAGTCGCCTTCTTGAACTCCCCCAGCGGCAGCTGATATCGAAACCGATTAAATCCAACGGCGAACCGGTTTTCTCGTGATAACAGCGCTGGATTCACGACGAGACGAGACATAAACAAAGCCGGATGATCGCCATTCCGCGTATTGTTATAACACCCACGAATTTTTTCGCCATCGTGTGAAACATACGTGTAATCTCTATACTCCAAAATTGTGCAAAATTTTAACCCGCTAGCGGGTTTATCACTGAAAGTAAAAATACATCCTTCGCGCATCGAATGAACGGTATTACATTTTTGCGATGGAAAAATTGTAATACTGACAAAGATAGATTTATCAGAGGAATGTTCGGGTGTATAAAAATTATAATAAGTAAAAAGGAAAAAGGGCTACGAGCCTAAAACATAAATTGACAAACTGTATGAGTAGTTAAAAAAAATTTTTTTGAAATAAAACTATGTCATAAATTAAAAACGTAAAATATAATTTGACAATCAGAAGGTGAACAAAACAAACGTTTCGATCCTAGTTGGATCATTTTCAATGTGACAAATAAGTTAGTGTGACAAAATAAATTAACAATGGTAATTAACAATAGAGTTATAACGTAGATAAAAAATATAAGAGATCAAGTAAAATTCGCATTCGGACGCAAATTAACTATAAAGCTCGCTCCAAATTGAGAGGAAATCAAACAAACGATTATAGTTGACAAAAATGTGCTCCTCCGAACCGTATGTGTATAAGGACGAACATGTTTCTGTTAGCAAGTATAAATTGTAATAATAAATTAACGGTAGAAGTAAATAAAAATAATAAGAATAATGAGAAAAGTACGAATCGAGTCGCAAACAGTAAAAAAGAAAGTACAAATAAGTCGTAAATAATAAGTCAAAATTAAAAGAAAGAGGCAAAAATTATCTTTGATATTATAAGACAAGCACATAAGAAAAAAAGAGTAAATTGCCAACATGCATTGTATATGAATGATGAGTTTAGAATAAATAAATTCATAATAAATACCTTATGTGTGTGTCGAAATGATGTATTATAGATTAGGCAATGCGAATGGAATCGAAATTGATCGTCTCTCTAAGAAGCTAATCACGCGTATATTTAAAATCAAACTCTATAAAACAAGATTAATTATAATGTTTGATTAATTATTATCACATGTTTTACTAATTAGTATCTTTCTTTTCAGGCTCTTGTAGATATCGGCACCTAAATTAACAATGTCTAGGGCCGTGCTTTTTATATCTTATGAGTTATATCTAATATAAAATCTAACTTTTGATACATTCTGATGTATGTAATAAGAATATGTTACATAAAGATTATAAAAACTTTATTCAAAAATTAAATAATAAAATATAAAATATTTGAAAAGGAAACAATGACTGATTTGTTTGTGTATTATACGATATACTACAAATCTGCTAACGTTCTGTCACAAAATATTCTTATCTTTGTGTAATATTTTTTTTTATTCGTGGAACATATGGTTAGAGTAAAAGTTTACAGTACTACTTTATTTGTATCATGTCTACATGTGTTTTTGGCAATTCGATAAAGTAGTTTTAGCTTTAATTGTTTTTTTAATTATGGTATGACGATTTTTAACGAAGTTATGAGTAGTCACAGTCAAAATGTTCTTTTCATTTAATACGCGATCATTTAATAACAAAAAATCTGACGAACATTTTAAAGAAATGATTTTGGAAGGAAAATTCCAAGCTTTTAGTTAGAAAGAATCGGAAATTTTCAAGTTTTTTTAGGCACACAAATTACAGGCTCACAAAGTGAGAACAAAATTTTCGCATTTTGTTTAGCTCGTAATTTTCTATATGTAAAAATCAAATTCACAGAAACTTAAAAGACATAATTATCTTTCGAAAATAGAGAGTTTAAGCTTTAAAATCCTTTTCTTAAATTTAAATTTCATTCACTTTTAACGAAGTCATAGTTACTTGAATTTTGAAGTTCGCTACGAACTTTTGTTCCAATCAGTTTCAACAAAAAAAAAATATGACTGATATTTTCGATTTGCAGCTTTGCTGCAACTTTTCAATCTTTGATAAACACTATACTTGGAAATTAAATCTGCTTATTTGAGACTGACTGAAAGTTGATTTGTCTCTTTAGAGATTTATCTCTTTAGAGATTACACAACTTTAATGCGTACGCTAATCATGCTACATAAAAGAAATACGGTCTGTTATACAAGATCGGGTGTTCTACCTCTACAGATAACTCATTCACTTGAAGGGAGTGAGTTCAAAAACGTAATGATATACTCTGTCATGTTTCATAATTTAATCCTAAGTATCACTTTTGTTATTGCTGACATTGGGAGCTTTCCAACAAGAGACACAGATAACATAATGAATGATTACATTTGTTGTTTGCCAATGTTAAGCAAAGAACTGAACTGATTAGTGTGTTACACAGTGTCGCTTGTTGGAAAGCTCCCATTGTTAGAAGTTTAATAAAAGGAGAAAAATAAAGAAACGATTTTATATTAATAACAAAATAAGTGATGAATTTTAATGATTACAAAAAACAATAAATATTAATTAGGCTCTCGAGATATAACTAAACAGTATAAATTGATCATTGATGAGTTTAGCATTAGAATTAAAAAATTTTAAACGCCTAAAAAAATTTTTTTAATTTAAAAATATATATTTATATATGTACATACATTTTAAATATATAT